TGGGCGACCCCCCACTAGATGGAGTGACGACCTTGTAAGATATGCAGGAAGTCGATTGATGCAGGTGGCTCAGGAACGTGCTTTGTGGCGTTACTTGGGGGAAGCCTATGTTCAGCAGTGGACTTGTGAAGGGCTGTAATGATGATGATGATGATTCTGTGAGAGTGTGGTTCTTTTCGAGATCGAGCCGACCCATTCGTTCAACAACCATAATGAAGCTGCAACACGACTCTACCATGTATAAATGTAAATATTGTGTTTGAATGTTAATATTTTACGACCGTGTTTTGGTGCAATCCTTGGGGGAGGTCCCGTGTTCAGCAGTTGACTTATAAAGAGCTGTAATGACGATGATGATAATGTTTTATTCTCATCATCATCCATCGACATGTATAACCAAATCGTTAATCCATCTTAGGCAGGCCGCCCTATACTTCAGTTAATGGTTCGAGGCTGCTACTCCAAAACCTATTGTCCCTATCGTTTGTCCATTCTTCAAGCTGATATGGCCTGCCTGATGCTACTTTAGCTTACTGGTCTTACGTCAGCTTATATCGGTCGGTTTGTCAGCTTGTGATAAATTCTATGAGGAAGAGAAAACCAGAGTGTAGCAAGCTCAATAGCTCGCTGGACAACCTTAAGCTTACTCATAATGCCAGCAGTTTAGGACCACTTTTTAGGTCCATATATTTAATTCTAATGATTCTGACTATTTATGGGATTAAATCCAGTTTGGTCACTTTCAAAGAAAATTTGAGTGTAAACGCTTATCTTCTTGGCTACTATGACTTTCTTTCAATAAATATAATTCTATTTTAAACCAATACATACACAATTAATATACGTGTTAGTAAAACCACGCTGCAGCCATATTACGGTGGGAGCACGAATGGGTCGGCCGACCGTTAAAGGACCACGCTCTCACAGAATACAGCATAAAATAGCAGCGAAATACTGTTGTGTTTCGTATGGTGAGTGTAGAGATACGGAGACCCTTTTTGACCGGAAACTAGGCATTCCGTCTTAGTCCTTAGGGGTGCCGTCGGTTATTCTTAATTGAGGGTAAATGTAGATATCTATGGGCTACAGCATCCACTTACCATCAGGTGGACTGTATGCTCGTTTTTCACCCTTATTCTATAAAAAAATAAGCACACAAAAAAAAAAACAAAAAAAAATAATAACACCAAAAACTTTGTCATTTAGGTGACATAATGTGATAATTGGGACATTAAAACATTTGTGTATTTCCATAGATCCAAAAGTTCGACGAAAGCAGTAAAAACGATCTTAATAATTGAGAATTCCTGAGTGGAGTGCGTGTAAAAACGTTGTAACCCCATTAGTACGGAGGCTACAAGACCGGTCCGTCTGCCAAATGATACCAGTCAGGAACTGTGACCCGGATCGAAATATTTGGAACGCCCAAGCAGACGGAAGCAATGATTATTACGGTTAACTGCTGTTACTGAATAGTTTCAAAGGGTTTGGGTAGTATTATGCCGTATTGCATATGTATATATTTAAAGGATATTTTTTATTTTTGTAATTTATGAATGCAATTAACTTGACTCATACTACTAATTCTAATGATGTATTTGTGTTATATGCTTATATGTCATATTAGTTATATAATATGTGTTTTATATAAACATGTTGCAGTAATTGTATCCATTATAATTTTATTCATTGTATTTGAATCTGAGTAAGCCCACAAATTTTTTACTTGAGTTAGTCAATATTTTTTAAATCTAAGAAGATAATTCTTATATACATTATTTTTTCATTTATTCGTAATTTCTTCTAAAGATCTTTTTTTCGCACCTATCACTAGTTATTTGTTGATTGGGCTAGTATGCCTTCGGCTTCCATTCTTCCCTATCAGCTTTTATATTATCACTCAATCCTTTCTTACGCATATCATTCCTAGTTTATCAATATTTTCTTATGCTTCTCTCTATCTTTATATCTATTAATTTTTATATCACACATTCTTTGTGTTACATAATTTTCTTCCCTTCAAATAATATACTCACACTACGCAAACCTAACTACCTAAGTATTCCGCAACTTGTGCCACATTCAAGCTGTCTCTCTCGTACTTACAAATACGCAGAAATTACTTTAAAATTTGTTTTATTTCCTTACTAAATAATAAAATTATTTATTTAAGCATAAGTTTTCTTATTTAATCTCTATACATAAAAATCATTTTTTTATAGAACAAACGGCAAACGAACATGCGGCTCACTTGATGGTAGGTGACTACCGCCACCCATGAACAACCGCAACATGAGGGGAATCGCAGGTGCGTTGCCGGCCTTTTAGAAAGAAGTAAGCTATTTTTTGTATCTAAGTATCGGTCCGGAAAAAACAAATTTACGAAAACTTCTAGTGAAACTCAGAGTGGTGGTCCACCAAGCAGATGTGATGATGGTATCGTGAATTTTGACGCGATGTGCGTTCGTGAAATTTGGCGGCTGGTATGGTAGATACGATAGAAAACGCAAATTGATGCAACATCAATCGAGCCGATCAGAAAAAACTCGGTCGTCGACGTCGAATCGCTCTGTGCTTGATGCGGTCAAGTGAATGGAGCTGGACCTGGGTTGCCCCAGGCCAAAGATGAGAACAGTATTCCACTTGAGGCCGAACTTGCGCTTTGTGAAGTTGCAAGCGATGTGCCGGCATGAAAGACTGTCTCGCTCTGCCGAGCATGCCAAGCATTTTAGAGGCCAATTTGGCATTGCCCTCCAAGTGACCACGAAACTGCACACTATTCGATATGTCGACGCCGAGGATTCCGATGCTAGCTGAGGTAGTAAGAGGAGTGCCTGAGCCTGAGCACCCACGCTCAAGAAGAGTAGGATAATTTGGTCGTGGATGCTCAGCGAGGGATTCTCCGTCACCAGGGGTACTGGTACACTCCTGGGGTAGTTTTTCACTTAATTCCGCTACCATGTTAAAGGGGGGGGGGGAATTGGGCTGTTGGCGTACGTTAATCTCACAAAAACTCGAAAATTGCTCGACCAATTTTGATGTTTAGTGTATATTTGAGTGGGATCCCTGGATGGTTTAGATTTTTAATTAAGCCCAGCAAGAGGTACTGTTGTCAAGATCCAGGAATAACCTGTGCAAAGCCGAGACGGATCGCGAGTCTTTAATAAAATAATCATTGCTTCTATAAATTAATGAAATGTGCGACCGTTAAAACTACAGACATATTAATTATATTTGCATGTTGTCTTATCTTTTACGATTTCATTTGACCTAGTTTTATTTTTAACATCTCTTCGGTAGTATGCTATGTAAATAAATTACTTTTTAGTTCACTAAAACTTGTGCGCGATATTTCAGATGCCTGTTCCAAATCGATGGCACGTTACTCGTTACTTAACTGTCATTTTTCGAGGTACGTCACGTAAATGAGACGCGTTTAAATAGTCATTTAGATATATTTACTCTAATATTATAAAGTACGTCTAAAGTTGGTGGGTTTTTTTTGTAACACGTAAAATCATAATCAACTAACCCGATTTAAAAAAAAATCTATTGTACGTTTATCTTTCTTTAGTAGAAATTAACACTGTCGTTGGCTATGTCTTAAAATTTTTTTTAATAAGACTAAAGTAACAAATGAACTAACCGTCCGCGTGATGGTAAGTTCATTGCATGGACACCTACAACCAACTTCAAATAAAGAATGATACATAATTTGCCTGCAGCTACGGAAAATGGAATGCCTCACGGCTCTTTATACCAGGCAGAAACACAGCAATGCAAGCACTGCTGTCTGCCGGTATAAGTTGGTTAGAGGTTGAAATTAAAAAAAATGTTATATATGCCTCACACGCTTCCGGTCTCATTTCAGGATTTGCGCACCCAATACAAAAAATACGAACAAACATCCACACGTGCAACAATAACTTTCTAGACTATAAAAATATTTGTTCCACGCGATAATCGAAATTAGCATCGCAGTCAACTAAGCCACCAGTGAATAAGAGCCATATTTATGCTTTGGTCGTCAGTTGTGACTCTAAGAGAGAAAGGAGAATACAAAAAAGCAAAAAGGATCCCTACATTATTAGCGTTTTATTTTCTAATATTTTATCATATATTATTACAGTGTATACTTCAACTGTGAGCACACTGAATTTTACAAGCTGATTAAAAATTAAATTTACAAAAGATAATGATACTTAATAATATGATAACCATTTGTCCTGAGTGATATTTTTTGTATTTAAATTTAGTTCATAATGAAAAAAATTAAGAATTTTTATATTAAAATTCATTATAATTTTGCGAATTAAGAAAGTTATTATTAGTAAATTTCACAGCGCAGTAGTAAACCGGATTCAATCCCTGACGGCACAAAAAACGGCATTGTCATTTACAATTTTAAGTTCTGATTTTACACGTGCTCAGCGGTGAAGACAAACATCGTGAGGAAAACCTGCATTTCTGAGGTATAAAAATATGATGAAAACATGATGTGCTAAATCCTCCAACATGCAATGGAGTAGCGCAGCGAATAAATTACTCCAATCCAGCCTCTCAGAAATGAGAGGAGGCCTATGCTCAGCTGTGGGACGTAACTATTTAAGTCCCAATGCTGGGGAAAGGCCATTGTAACTTTTACGTTACATTAACTATAGGAATAATAATAAATCTAGCATTTTTAATACAAAAGATATCAACGTGCTCGGAGAGATTATCCCATTTTTTTATTTTGTTATTGAAATGAGTATGTATGAGTACATATCAAAAAAAAATAATTTGATAATTATTGATAAGATGCATAATTTATTTTATATTATATAGAAAAAAAATTCAGGAAAATAAAAAAATTAAAGAATTACCAGTTAAATAAAAATAAATTATTAATTTTTTTAACAACAAATGCAATTACACAATATTTGTTCCTATTATTATTACATCTTAGTCAAAATACTTATTTTATGAATCTTTACACCATATGGAAATATTATCCTCACCTCTGTCAACATCTTGTCCATTACAATTTAGGAGAAAATTGCCCATAAGAGTCAACAACACAACAACAAACAACATTTCTTTCACTTCACTACGGTAAAATTTTAAAAATTGACACCTATGGACCGTCATCTTGAAGTGCGACTTCCCGCGCAATTACTACTTTTTATTTAAAGAAATTTAAAATTAATTTATTGAAGTAAGCGCATTTCACATTTTATTTCTGTAATTTTATTTATAAATTTCGTATAACTAGTGGCGGCACCGAAACGGTTTTCTCGGCATTTTAATTAATGGCTTAAATTTTTTGATCGTATTTTTTTAGGAAACGGAGCTCCGTTTGGTAGAGGCGTGCATCTACTTCCAAGTTGAAGAACCCACTAGCCGACTGACCAACTTAACACTGTAAAATAAGAAACACACATATTACCAACGGTCTTTCACTTTGATAAGGTTTTAAGTCAAGTAATTCTTCAAACTAAAACTGACTTTAGAACAATAGTGATAAAGTTCATAAATCAAATCACAGATGAGACTCGGTCATAGTTAATAACAACTTGTTAAACAAGTGAACGGTGAAATGAGAAATTGTGAGAGATAGCCATATATCTGAAGGAGATAGATAGACATTTCTTTTTAATTCTACCACAAAAACTTGCGATAATAACAAATCACTCTTAAATTCTCATTGATTTATACATATTACATTATATAAACGAAAAGTATAATCAAAATTCTAAAAAAAGAGTTCTGAAACATTCCTTTATAAAAAGTAAATCTTTCTAAATAAAAGTTGGTTACTTAAATTAAAATAATTAATTAGTCAATATGTGCAAGCTGTAACCTGGATATTGATCGCTAATTAACTTAATATCATGGGAACGGTAAGTTAGTGAACTTTTATTATTAATTCATTTCATGGTTTCTATAGTGTTAAACAGATCAATTAAATTATGACGGATCGTAGCAATAAAATATATCATAAAAATTAGTTCTATGATGCTTTTATTAGGTTAACTGAAGTTTACAAAAACAAGCATAAAATAAATTATAAGTAGTAAAGCATTTATTTGTTCACTATAATAATATGTAGTTTATAAACTAAGGTCTATATAAATATTACAAATGGTACTTATCACTTAGTAACTTTTAATAGACGTTGCAAAAAAAAAGCATTAAGTAGGTATAAATTAAATAATTATTAAAAATTTGTACATATTATTATAACATAAAAAGATTTTGGTTTTCAGCCAAAAAAAAAAACAATATTAGACAACTACAATTAAAACAAATCTAAAATTTAAAACTTAAATTATTATACCTACTCCCCGTGGTATCGTGCCAAGAATCTGATTACGTTTCCTCGCTGAATGCCTATATTTAGCCTTTGAGCGAGAAAAGAACTAACACTCTTACCACTATATTATAATAACTAATAAAATTAATTTCTACGTGATAGAGCCTGTTGCTGCTGTTATATTAGCAGTATAGGTGTAGCACGAATGGATCGGCTCGACCGGGGAAGAACCACACTCTCACAGAATACCAGAGTAAAATAGTAGCTTAATGCTGCCATATTTTGTATGATGAGTGTATTGAACCGGAAACTCCTATATCTATAGGCCACAGCAACCACTTACCATCAGGTGAACTTTGAGATCGTTTGTCATCCTATCCTATAAAATAAATTATTATATCTAATTATATGAAAAAATGTTTTAAAACAACAAAAAAGTTAAGATTCTAACGAAAACATAATATAAAATATATTAATTATTTAAATAGGATTAAGAGCCCTGATGGCTCAGGCGCTAAGCGCTCACTGTAAATTTCACAGTACGCGAGCAACCCAGGTTAAATCCCGACGGCAAATATGAAATGCTTCATTGCAATTTTAAGTGCTGATTTAGCACGTGCTCGGCAGTGAAGTAAGCTCGTAGTAAACCTGTGTCTTTGAAAAATAACAATAAATATGTATTTCTAAGACGTGAAATTTGCCAACACGCATTGGAGAAGTGCGGTGGACATTTCCCCCTTAAGGCGACACCTTGAGAAAATGCACCTCCTTTCATCGAATAGTATGGGACTATGACACGACTAACGAAACTGAAATTTTGATATAGGTAAATTCATGTCTTTATCTTGAATTTGCTTGCTCAAAAACACGATTGTATAATTTTGACTTGATCATAATAATTTGCGAAAACACCTCTAAAAATCACTATAGTTGAAATTACAACAAAATTACTTAATCTATACGCTTGGGAATCACTCAAATATATTCATAACGTCAATATTTGTAATTTAGTTGCGCATTATTATGATTACTAAATTCAATAATTTTTTTAAAATATTTTAAGATTCTGACAATTTCTAAGCGGTGTTAATCGTCGCGAACGCTACGCAATTTTAGACCTTATGACGGCGCTTTAAAGTTTTATAGAAATTATATACTCAGGCGAGCCAGTCCGGCGATAGCCCTCTTCAACGGTAGGCCTGCGCATGTCGTTCGCTTGTACTCTCTATTCTTATTATACCTCTTATACCTTTATTATTATAAATAGCTATAGTTGTAGAATAGGTTTATTATTATGGTAGGAAATTATTATTAGTATAAGTAGATGCCGAAATAATTTATTTTATTTGTGGTAATATATATAAAATAATATAAAAATACTAAGAAAAAAATTATATAGGAGAAAAAGAAAAAGCTATTCGAAAAAAAATCTTAAAATAACGAAGGCGAACAAGTTAAGGTAAACAATGTCATTGTAAATATTTTAATAGCATTTTAGTGTAATGTATGTTTGTAGTTAGTTATAAAGAACATTACCTGCCTATAGAGATTGCAAAATCCGGATTTTTTTGATATCCGAATTTTAAAATTTTTCTATGATTAAAATCCGGATTTTTTGAAGTTTTAAGGTGATTTGATAAAACATTAAAAATCTACATTTATTCAGACACGACAGAATAAAATCAACCAAATAAACAAGGCAGATAGAAGGTAGATAGGCAGGCTGCCTACCTAGATTCAGTATGATTCAAGCAACTTGGCCGTTTAGATAATTCAAATCACTTAGTGCTTTGTGGGTACAAGGGAATAGAGAACAAAATCGTATGTTAATAAAATAATCAATAAAATAATTTTTAGGAGCGACGCTTGACGCAATTATCGGAAATAACACCCTGTTTGATATCACGTGTCCCATAATTGCATACAAGGTTGGTATTGACGATGTCGTAATACAAGGAAATGTGCATTTCTAGCGGGTAAATAAAAAAAGTGGCGAGATCCAGGTAAACAAAAATTCAGATTGGTTCATGCAAGTTCAAAGACAGATGCATATTTCCGAAATATGTAAATGCTTATTGGCAGTATGGTATAGACGTAATAAAATAAAAGTGGACACAATAGTAAAGGATGACCAATTTTGCAAGGACAAAATGGAGACAAAATTACTTTCATTTTATTTTCACTGCTTGCTACTGGATTTGATAGAACCGCGACTTACTTGTAATAAAAATAAATTCAGGATCTAAGTTAAGTAAAAAAAATAAAGAAAATGTGTATAATGACCCTAAAAAGAAGGGGAATAAAATATCATTATAAACGTAGTTACAAATTCTGTTATACAATATAATCAGTTTTAAAAATCATGACTTAGTTATTATTTCAATAAATAAATAAATAAAAACTTTGTTGATTTCTCTTTTAATAAATTAACATGACGACAACAATAATGACATATACAGCTACATGTTATTATACTCCCTCCTTGTCCTAGACATTCTTAACAATTGTAGTACGCCGCATTCCATGCCAGCATCACAATTTATCCAAGCTCGCTAAAAACATTTTAAAGCAGTATACATGGCAACACTGTATCAACTCGTCCGTCAATGCAATTTCATTACGTTGTTTTGTGCCAGCCATCACGGTGTGTTTTTATAATTTTTGTTGTAAAAATTAAATATGTTTAGTGTAAAATCAAATATGTTGTGTCCAAAACCTGCTACAAATAAATTTATTACGTATCTGCGTGGTAATAATTGGATTATGTACTTCGGAAAGGAAGATATTCAAAAATGGAGCAAACCGATCAAAAGTAAACAAAAATCCTACTGTTCGAGGTAGGTGCACGTGTATATAAAATAAATAAAGTTAAAACATTTATTAAATAATAAAATCAGATTCACTGTGCGCATTTTTTAACAAGTATGATAAATTATCGAACAAATTCGCCTCGTATTAGGGGTTAATAACATAACCTCGTCACTCATATAATATGAAATAGTAAATAGTTATTTTAACCGATAAATCTGGGTTGAGATACATTGTACAGAGATACGTTGAGAAATTTTAAGTGATATATATTAATGTTTTTCTTACTTTCATTTACTTACGTTGGGCAGTCGCCATTATCAGTCATTGGGCAAGATTATTCCCACTTTTGACATGCACGTAGTGTCGGACAGTATTGAAGAAATAGGAAAAGTATATTACGGTGGAGATAGGGATGCAAAAGCACTATTGACTTAAAACTGCTGGGAAAAATACCTAACAGGAGTTATATAGATGCTATATACAGACCGTTAGAACTGTCACTTAGAATATATACATAGATTTATGTATATGTAATAAAGTAATAACGAAAAGTACTACTGGTAGATATTAAGCGGTGCAGAGAAGCAGAAGTATTTACTGTAAACTTAAAATTGTTGGGAGAATATCTAGCATAAGTTATTTAAAATGCTATGCATTAGAGCTGTCATTTATGAGGATAGACATGGTTAACTATTCAGACCTTACCGCAATGACTTAGAAGGTAGACAGGTCTTAATTCACATATAAGATGCTATCATTAGTGGAAAGATATTAAGATGGGCTAGGACTCAGAAGACATCACTGCAGGCTTTAAACCGTTAGAGCTATCACATAGAGGATAGACACGGTTGACTATTCAAACCTTAGAGCTAACACTTTGAGGTTAGACAGGTTTGAATTGAAGGCAATATCACTTGAAGGAAGACATTAAGATGGACTA